TCTTCAGCTCCCAAAGAGTCTTTTGAAAAAGTACTTTCCCTTTGTGTCTCTCTCTCTCTCTGTATTTTTAAACTTACAAATTACCAGAGGTTTTGCAGTAGGCATTAAAGGTGCAGGTTTAGAGGTTTTTAGAGGCATTAGTTCCCCTAAAACTGCAGTTTAAAAAAAAAAAGTTAGAACCTGTCAGAATCAATGCATATATATACAGTATATATATATATATATATATATATATATATATATATACAGTATGTATATATATATAGCCTATATATAAACAATATATATATATATATATATTTCCCCTTTTGTGTTCCACAGAAAACACTCACCAAACAACGTTTTTTTTTTTGGTGAACTATTCCTCTTAAAACAGTATGTCAACCCAGTCATGATACAAATAAAACACATTTATTATAATATTTTATGAATTTATCATACAAGCCAAATATAATGCAAATACACAAGAAAAGTCTGTAATAATAGGGCACAATGTACTGTGTCAATATGAAGGAATTTTCCATATTGATTTTTCACAGGCGATTTACTTGTATTTTTACACATTGCCTTGTATTGTTTTTTCACGGTTAAAAGAAACATCTGTAAACTTAATTTCTACAGATTTGTTTCTTACAGTGTAGATTTTCAATACTTACACGTTTAAAAAAAACGGAATCACCATACTGTAGATGTGACAATAAAAAAAAACACTTGTTTTCTCACAGCAGCAGTACAGCAGGGGATCATTATTCTGACAGGTGGCTTCATAATTTTGCATAGAATGAATATCAATGGAGGGGAAGCTAACAGTTTAGCTGTCTCTGTCTGCCCAGCGATATTTAACCCTTTCATAATCAAGCATATTAAACACAATACAGTACAATGATTGATACCGAAAGACATATAATTCAAACAAGACAACCAACCGCTCCTAATTTGAAATGATACGACTGGGATCAGCTGTTCTGCAGTCAGTAGCCTATTCATTGTGTCAGTGATCTGTAGAAACTGCCAGAGCAGCACAATGGAGCACAGTATCATCTAACAGTGCGGTCCGTTTTTTTCTTCTTTGTGTGTGTGCACATTTATTGATCACCACAATGCATCCTGGTGTCGGATGTTAATGAGACTATGTATATCTTTAAGAACCATTACATTGATCAGTGTAAAGACGATGTGCTCGACTACGTTTAAAGAGTCCATTAAAACATCAGCCACTGAAAACCCATCACACCCAGTAAGGTGATCTCACTTTTCCCTCCCATCGCCATGGTAACCTGCAGGGATGTGTCTGGACTAGGAGGGGCTGGGAAAAGGTAAATGTTGAAAATAGCTGAAGACCTAGGACAGATCCTTGTGGCGCTCCATACTTTACTGGTGATAACTGAGATGACTCCCCGTTTAAATAACCTGACTGAAATTCTTCAGAGATTTTTTTGCAGGAAGGAGCACAATTAAGTAGACACAACTTTTTCTAAAATTTTAGACATAAACAGAAGATTTGAAATGGGTCTGTAATTTGCCAGTTCACTAGGACCTATTGACTTATATGCATTTAAAACATCATTTTTCTTAAAGAAAAATACTTTAAAATGTCACACCCAGTAAGGTGATCTCACTTTTCCCTCCCATCGCCATGGTAACCTGCAGGGATGTGTCTGGACTAGGAGGGGCTGGGAAAAGGTAATAGATATTCTTAGTAATGTTCAATATGTTTATGCATCTTAAAGTTGAGAACAAAAAAGTGAGCATCCAATAGCAGCCTAATTACAAGTAACCTGACATATTAACTCATTGGTTGCTTATTGGTTTTATACAGGCATATTTTATAAAAAAGAGAGTCTGATTTTTTTCCTTTTAAAGAAACTGATTAAAATATGTCATTAAAAATAGGATGCACACATTTCATATGATGTGACACCCTGGCAAACGAGTTCAATGGAGAAGCGTGTCATTCACTGTCGCTGACAGAAGAAACAGCGCAGCTTCCACACGATTTCCCAACAAAATCCTTGCAGAAAACAAAATGCACATTTATACCTGATGCCTATTCAGATGCAGGTGATGCATCAGGGACGCAGGACAGAAGAACGCGCGTTCTGCTGCTGTCACCTTGTTGCAGCTCCTCCGGACATTGACATGAACGAACGTAAAGATCGCTTTCGGACGCGATCTGGTGTCTCTCACCTCTTGTCCAGGCAGATGATCCACTCTGAGGAGGCCACGGAGTGCGCAGAGGCGTGCACCGCTACCATCTTCGGCTCCACCGGTGTGAATCGTGCGTCGCGTAGTGGATCGCGGATCTCGTCGACTCGGGCGCAGCAGCATCAGTTAATATCAGTAAAATGCAGCATACACGATACAATGGTCAGTAACATCATCACTTTGAGGTACGATATCTATATCAGTAAGATCGATTACATTTATTTAAGATCGATAAATAAATGTAAAAGTAAGTGAATAAATAATATAATTATTCCACCGGTGTGAATCGTGCGTCGCGTAGTGGATCGCGGATCTCGTCGACTCGGGCGCAGCAGCATCAGGGCTCGCCCCCTCCGCGCCTCTGTCGTCAACTGGATCACCGCGGCGTGGACTCGTCGTCACCACGTTCACGCACGACGAACGTTTACAAGCGTGACTGCACACACCGGCACGAAGTCACGTTCTGAAGGGTGTAGATCGTGAGCTGATGACGGGTCAAATCAAATAACGTGGTTGCCATGCTTGGAAAATAACGTAAGCGGGAGGCTGGTGATATAAGGGAAGAACAGACAGCCGGCTAAAATTAAGGTTTTGTGGATGACAGCGGTGGTGCTGATGCTGCACTGTCGCCATGGCGACGGGCAAGCAGTCTGCGCGGATGCTGCACCCAGACGAGGGGAAATGTGAAGCGCTGTCAGGCGTCTTGTCCTCCTCTCCGGGGGAGACACTTACAGTAACAGGAGAGAGACGCTGGGAGCTGACTACACTGTAAAAAGCCAAACGGTTGCAGTTGTAAAACAAAAAAGTTAACCCAATGAAGTCTGGTTGATTAATAACACTAAATATTAATAATAACTCTGAGGGGTTGGCATCATCTCTTCTCCGGTGGTCTGGATCCAGACTGAAGCTTGTGTAAATCCTAGTTTGTTTCAATCCCGTGGCAGAAACAGAGAAACAAATAGAGACACATCACTTTGAGGTACGATATCTATATCAGTAAGATCGATTACATTTATTTAAGATCGATAAATAAATGTAAAAGTAAGTGAATAAATAATATAATTATTCAAAATGCTAATATTAACAACATTTTGGTTTAACAATGTCTGGTTGATTCATTCATGTTAATATTGAAGATTTTTTTTTCACAATATTAATATAATTAATCAATAGAAAATAAATAAATGTATTCACTATTGTGTACACTATTAATATAATTCATTACTAATTAAATTAAATAATGTAGTCTAGTTGATTCATTCATGTACATTAATATTGATGATTGAAAAATAAATGAATAAATAATTATTTAAAATTCTAATAATATACACATATAAACAATAATAATAATAATAACCACATGCAGTAAACATTTTTACAGTGTAACTTGACACACATTTTAAACTGTCTGAGATCATAAAAAGAATAAAGACACTCTTTATTTCCTGCAGTGCAAATAACAACAAAGAGAATAAAGTATGCACAAGTTCAGTGTTTAAATTATCATCAACAGTAAGGAAACTGGTAAAAATCACATTCTCTGCCTAAGTGCTTTGTACATGTTACACATTTACAGTGTAGCACATTTAGACATTGGCTGAAGTATAAGGAGCAAATTGTTCCTTTTTCAGAAGAACAAAGTAAGAAAAAAAGCTTCTTCAGCCAATTTAACAGTTTGCAAGGTCACGCTGACACATCTCTATCGTGCTAAAGAAAAAGCAACCACGTGATCAAGCATCATCTCTAAACACTTCAACACACACTCAACCTGAATGCAAAAATAGCTGACTATGTACAGAACTCTATGAGAGAATCCCTGACACCTCTGTATACATAACAACGGCACAATATGGCTTTCATTGCAGTCCTGGCATTTTTGGGGACAGATGCTACATTAAATTCATACTGAATCAAAGGAAAAAAAATATACTCACAGGTTCAACACCACATTACTGACAATACCCAATAAATGCCTTTTATATTAAACATTTCTATTCAAAACATAACAATGTGAATAAACACTATTTTACATAATGTAATATTTGGGACTTTCTACAAATATAGCACACTTTGGTGTCACACTATAAAAAGGAAAAGAAAAAGTTTTTTTTTTCTTATTGTCAGATTTATAATATGAACTATTGTTATTATATTAGCATAAAATTATGAATTATCATACATTACTATTTTAGTCTGTGGAACTGATAAATATAAAAATATTTGTCAATTTTTTTTAAATATTTATATATATATATATATATATATATATATTTAGCACAATTAGCAGTCATCTGCATTTTGTATGCAAGCCTGTTAACTACATAATTTTCCAACATTACAAAAAAATTCAATATCGCTTACAATCGTGATACCCAAGAAATAACATCATGTTATTTAGGACCCTTTAGTGGGAAAGACAAGTAAACTATAAAACGTAAAATATAATCATAGTATATTTTCATTTTTTTATAGAAATTGACAGCCATCATCAAGTGTAGTTATTCAACCCAGTTACCATGGTTATTGTAAGATAACTAATATTGGTATCACTTTACAATAAGGTCTCATTTGTTAACATTAGTTAATGCATTAACTAAGATGAACTATAAATTAGCAATAACCTTTATTAATGTTATGTTATTAATGTTCATGTTATTTCACAGTGCATTAATTAATGTCAAAAGACACTACTTTTGATTTAAAAAAATGTATTAGTAAATGTTGAGATCAACATTAAGATTAATAAATACTGTAAAAGTATTGTTCATTGTTAGTTCAGATTAACTCATTCGGTTTACTAATGTTAACAAATGGAAACTTATTGCAAAGTCTTACTCTAATATTCTTCTTAAATTTTGGGAAATACAAGTTTTATTTATAAATGAAACTACTAATTTTAACAACCCAAATGTACTTTATTCATGTAAAGTGCCAATTAAAGGATTCTTTTTTGAGCCACTCTGTCCATGAGACCTTTTCATTTCCCGATCTTTATACACATTCCTTAAAGTCACACCCTCATTAAACACTTTCCGTCTATTGAGTGTTCAGGAAACGTCCTGCTTTCAAGACAAAGGAGTGGAGCAGTTCATGCTGGGTATCGACTTGTAGACAAAGTAAAAGTGTTGACGCTTCGGTTGACTGTGTAACTCTGCCTTTATCCACTGTGGGTGTGTGTCTGTGGCCAACTGCTGGCTGCTCTCGTCCGTGTAAAGAAACAGGCCGTAGTTTTCTGGATCAGACACGCGGAATTTGAGCGCACAAAGACGACACACCTCTTCTGTCGTGGCGTAGGGCCGCACCTGAAGGGTTTTAGCCGTGCAGCCGCTATCTGCCTTCTGCAGGGCCACTCGCATGTAGTTCTTCACACAAACAAACAGATATTATAGAGTTAGTTCATATCTACAAAATGCAGTTAACTTTGCAAATACTGTCCGGAGGTCAGGATTTTACCTGGAAGTCGTCCACTGAGGGCAGGTCTCTCTGCAGTGTGCGACGCTGGTGCCACTGGTGGAGTGTGTCGCGTGTTGTAGAGCTGAGTACTCGAGCAGCCTGCTCTTCCTGGAAGTTCTTAATCAGTGACATTGCTCCATATGCACTGGTGAGGTAATATCCTCCTGTACAGGATCAAGAGAAAGGAGCATCTTAATATACAGAACAAAAACCTAGTGAACATCTCAAAACCTAAATTAAAAAAAACTTTAGTACCATAAAGTATTGCTAAAAATCTACTTGAAAATGTATTATTTTAACCTATTTAACCTATGTTTGTGGTCGGTAAGATTTTTAAAAATGTTTTTGAAATAAGCTCACCAAGGCAACATTTATTTGATAAAAACAGTTAAAACATTAATATTGTGAAATATTATCAAAATTTCAAACTTTCTAATTTCATGCATTTTAAAATGTAATTTTTATGACAATATTCCAGTCTTCAGTGTCACATGATCCTTCAGAAATCATTCTAATATGTTGATTTGGTGCTCAAGAAACATTTCTTATTATTATCAATGTTTTTGTTGTTGTTGTTTATTTTCACTTTTTTGTCACTTTTGGTCAATTTGCTTAATCATTGCTGAATAAAAGTATTAATTTCTTTCCAAAAAGAAAAAAAAATGCTCTTCCTGGAAGTTCTTAATCAGTGACATTGCTCCATATGCACTGGTGAGGTAATATCCTCCTGTACAGGATCAAGAGAAAGGAGCATCTTAATATACAGAACAAAAACCTAGTGAACATCCCAAAACCTAAATAAAAAAAAACTTGTTTAGTACCATAAAGTATTGCTAAAAATCTACTTGAAAAAAAATGTATTATTTTAACCTATTTAACCTATGTTTGTGGTCGGTAAGATTTTTTAAAATGTTTTTGAAATAAGCTCACCAAGGCAACATTTATTTGATAAAAACAGTTAAAACATTAATATTGTGAAATATTATCACAATTTCAAACTTTCTAATTTCATGCATTTTAAAATGTAATTTTTATGACAATATTCCAGTCTTCAGTGTCACATGATCCTTCAGAAATCATTCTAATATGTTGATTTGGTGCTCAAGAAACATTTCTTATTATTATCAATGTTTTTGTTGTTGTTGTTTATTTTCACTTTTTTGTCACTTTTGGTCAATTTGCTTAGTCATTGCTGAACAAACGTATTAATTTATTTCCAAAAAGAAAAAAAAAAGCACACGACATGAACGGCAGTGTATATTTATGTGTGCTATGAAGTTTATGTGCATATTAGAGTAATGCATAATTAGTTTATTAATATTTTAATCGAGTCGAGTATCCCTTTGCATGTGAAAACTGCTATTTTTGTGGCATGGCGTTGCTGCCCATCACTTTTTCAGCAGTGCTGTTTTTGGAAATATTTTCATTTTTCCCATAGGGACTTTAAAAATCGTTGTTAAAGTGTTATAAGCAATGAACCAAACCAACCGAGAATCACAACATTGCAAACTTTTAAAGCAAACTTTTGATTTGAAGCAAAAAAAAAAAAAACATTTGATAATCAGACAAAAGAAAAGGTACAAAACTGTGTACTTAACAGCTTTAATGAAGGAAAGAACTACAATCCCATGCAGCATTGCGTATGATATAATCAAATTAAAACAACTGAGATAAATATAAAACTACTTATTTAAAGGTGTTGGTTGTATCTATAGAAACGAAACATAATATTTTCATGGTGTCACGAATCCAGTCTATGAACTTCAATTCACTCACCACCGGAGGTCACCCTTCCATTACATTGACTCTCGCACTACACAAACTGTTGCATGTCATCCCGGACTACATATCCCATCCTCCATTGCACTGATTGCACACAGCACTGATTGCACACAGCTGTAACCAATCACACATTCACTATATAACACTTGTACCTGGATTTATCCCTCTAGTCTCGCCCTGTTGATTCTGTTAGCCGATCGTAGACCCACGCTAGCCCTAGGAATATTCTTGTGTCTTGCCCTCTATATACCTGTTGCCATTGTCTGACCCTTGCCTGTTTCTGACCATGTCGGTTAATAAAGCTTCGCACTTGGATCTGCACGTCTCACGTCTCAGTCACTCCGTGACACATGGGAGTGGGTGGAACCTTTTGGTGCGCTTTGCTCACCGCAACTCCCTGATTAATGACATTTTCTAAACAGCATCGTGGGTATTGTATTTTCCACCACAAATTCTGCTATTAAACACTATCATTTTAAAAGTTAGTTGAATTAACACAAATGGATGGGTTCGAAAAAAGGCTATACAATCAATTAATAACCTCTGAGCTCATAACAGGTCTGTTTTATAGGTTTATAATAAAGCAATAAGCCCCAAGAAGCCGTGGTTTACAGTGAATTTATAACAGCTAAGGGGTGTTGTTTGTAAAACCCCCATAGCTGTTATAAATTCACTGTAAATCACAGCTTCACGGGGCTTATTGCTTTTATAAAATGGTTATTCCATATACGTAGTTAGGTTTCACAAAATAAAACAGAGCAAATAAAGTGTAATGATATTAATAAAACAGTATTCTTCCACCAAACAATGTAGTTCCTCAGAAACAGTTGTGGTTGCAACAAAGTGGTTGCCAAGCAACACACAAAGTAAACAAAGGTGTATGTTTGTAGAGTAATTTACAACAGCTTCGAACGCGGCTCAACCAATCAGAATCAAGGACCGGAACTATCCGTTTTATAAAACAGGTTTATCAGGAAAATGAATGGCGTTTTTACTTACAGATCCCGACTGCTGCACTCTATAGGCAACAACAGACAGCAAGACAGTTCTCTACGTTTTGGAACAGAACTGGCCAGTGGGGTTTTCAAAACCTGCATTGCTCACTGCCCAGACTGTTAGTACATTTTGAAACTGACAAAAAGGGTAAATTATCACTATAATGAGGATAGATCATCCTATCTGTCACATTAGATCATCAAGTTTGTGACTTGACTGTGTGCATACAACACAATAAATCTTTTCCATGAATGGCTGCCACAGTGTGCTCAGTAAGAATAGGAGACGCACACCCAGGAGGAAATGACTCTGTGGGGAACAGAACTTCGGAAGTTCGTCACACATTGAAAATGCTTGTCCGTTCTGAACCTCCTACAGTTTGGATTCTGCACAATCATTAACTTTGTTAACATTACATTACTGATTCTGTCATCATGAAGCAAGAAAGAGAATTGGACGGGAGAAAATAATACTGTTTTGATTCTGAAGTTCTTCCATTTTTTTTTCTTCCAAATAATACATTTTTTGCACCTTTTTAAAATAATTCAGGTTTATGTAACATTATTACACAAGAACGAGTACATGTTAATGCACCTTCTCCATGCAGTAATGGGGGATCTATCAGCTCCATCATAAACAGGATCTCAGTGTCCAACTGAGGCATGTCACACTGGACCAACACATATGTCAACATGGGCAGGAAATCATCCGCTCCAAACATCCGCACTGGCAAACACAGAGGAAACATTTATTAGTGACCTTTGCACAAACTATTCCAGCAACTACAATCCAGTTAATTAAGGTGCAAATACTTTTGCTTTCAGTTACTGATCTCATACACGCCTAAAACATACACACTTTTAAAGACTTTAAATAAACCCTCGAGACATAACTCCACCCGTACACACCTTCATGGTCTTGCATAATATTGTAGATGAGTTTGCAGACTTTTAACAGCACCATAATCTTCCTCTCAGGTGAGTACATGTGGCACATGGCTCTGAGTTTTCGGCGGATCCTGTGGATGGCGTGGGCGTCTGGAGGCCGGGTTCCGTTCACTCCCAGCTCGTGAGGCTGTTTGGCCTTTGCCAGGGCCAGATTCTCCTGCAGCCTCTGACACACGGCACCTGCCACCTGGAAGTCATGCAGCACCGACTGCAAGCAGCCGTACAGAGGTTTCAGCACACACTTATGCATGGCCTTCTCCAACATTGGATCTGTAAAAGAGATGGAGTTTCAGTTAAAGCTTTAATATATAAGAGTTTGAGAGACATTTACCATACTCATAGAAAAAGAAAAAAAAAGCGTAAACAGGCATGACGTTTTAAACTTCAACTATTTAATAAACAGTTTTAAAGGAATAGTTCACCCTCAAATGAAAATTCTCATAATTTACTCAACCTTCATGTTGTTCCAAACTAAAAAGACTAAAATGTGACCCTGGACCACAAAACCAGTCATAAGGGTCAATTTTTTGAAAGTGAGATTTATACACCACCTCAAAGCTGAATAAATAAGCTTTCCAGTGATGTATGGTTTGTTAGGATAGGACAATATTTGGCAGAGATAAAACTATTTGAAAATCTGGAATCTGAGAGTGCAAAAAAAAATCAAAATATTGAGAAAATCACCTTTAAAGTTGTCCAAATGGCGGATCCTGTGGATGGCGTGGGCGTCTGGAGGCCGGGTTCCGTTCACTCCCAGCTCGTGAGGCTGTTTGGCCTTTGCCAGGGCCAGATTCTCCTGCAGCCTCTGACACACGGCACCTGCCACCTGGAAGTCATGCAGCACCGACTGCAAGCAGCCGTACAGAGGTTTCAGCACACACTTATGCATGGCCTTCTCCAACATTGGATCTGTAAAAGAGATGGAGTTTCAGTTAAAGCTTTAATATATAAGAGTTTGAGAGACATTAACAATACTCATAGAAAAAGAAAAAAAAAAGCGTAAACAGGCATGACGTTTTAAACTTAAACTATTTAATAAACAGTTTTAAAGGAATAGTTCACCCTCAAATTAAAATTCTCATAATTTACTCAACCTTCATGTTGTCCCAAACTAAAAAGACTAAAATGTGACCCTGGACCACAAAACCAGTCATAAGGGTCAATTTTTTGAAAGTGAGATTTATACACCACCTCAAAGCTGAATAAATAAGCTTTCCAGTGATGTATGGTTTGTTAGGATAGGACAATATTTGGCAGAGATAAAACTATTTGAAAATCTGGAATCTGAGCCCAGCGACTTAAGACTGGTTTTGTGGTCCAGGGTCACAAATTATAACTGAAACCATAAAAAACATGTTTTTATGTCACTTGAAATGAAAGAAAATGATCAAAATTAAATGACCTTTTCTTTTAGTTTGACTTCCAAGTACTAAAATAACTAAAACTGAAATAAAGATAATAATTATACAGACATATTTAAAAAAACGAATAAAATGACAATAACATGACAAAACTACTAAAACTTTAATGACAATTAAAATGAAAATACAGTAAAAACAAATTCTAAATATTAATAAAAACTTAAACAGTATCAGTGATGCTAAAATGACACTGTTCTGAAGGATATTCTGAAGAACATATCAGCTTTTACTTTTCTCACTTTTATTCCTTTCTACCTATTCTGTTCTGCACTAGTGAAAAACCAAAACACCCTGAATGCTTAGAGAGCGTACAGTCTATGCTGAGTTTATGGAAAATCTGACACAAACGTTACAAGATATATTAGGCCTTAGCTCTTGGTATTCAATTCTCCCTGTGAAATAAGGGCTTTCTGAGATGCAAAGGGCAAGTCAAATGAGGACAAAAACAGGCCTCACATCAGTTGTCTGTACACTATAGAGTTATCAAACAAGCAATTACACACTATCACAATGACACTTCTAATGAAACTCTATTGCTCACAGTATACACAGGAGTTATACATATCATAATGGCTAGACATGATGATTTACAGAAAACATAAAATAATCAACCCTAAAAATGCACCAAAATGTTATAAACCTACAGAATTCACAAACATACACCCATGATACACAGACAGAGTTACTCCTACTAACACACACAAATAACTCGCATCCTGCTCCATTGTGACTAACTACAAATGACACAGACATACAAAACTGAGAGCGTACACAATTGAATTAGATTAGTCTTTCCAAAATCTGTAACAATTGCACATTTTTATTAGTGCAACATGTTTTGAAGTAAGTGTGTAGAATTGAGCAGTGACGCTATAGACATGTCCATACCAATATCCAGCAACTACTGATGTCCCTAGCAATAATTTTGATCAAACAATAACATTTAATGTACATATAACCACTGTTAATGTCATTTTGGCTGCATCTGAAATGAGTCGCACCACTGACGTTACCTGAGACATTTAAGCAAATATGCGCTCTTTCATAGTTCAGTTGAATGAAATAAACAACTCTGAAATAAGAGTGTCGTTTAACTGTCAATCAGATATTTATTATATCTGTTATGATGTTAAAATCAATCTTATACCCTTCTTCTGAAGTACTTTGATTCCACTAAAAAAAAAAATCAACAACAAAAAAAACACGCACATTGGTTGCTGTACATTGGGAATATAGATATGGATATATATGATTAGGATAATCATTCAGTACCATGGTATAAATCAAAGTAACATGCTATTACAATCTAATTCCATCACTGTACTCCAGTGCTATTTTGTAACCTCTGATAAAAGTATTAAAGGGGTCATATGATGCGATTTCAAGTTTTCCTTTCTCTTTGGAGTGTTACAAGCTCTTGGTGCATAAAGAAGATCTGTAAAGTTGCAAAGACTAAAGTCTCAAATCCAAAGAGATATTCTTTATAAAAGTTAAGAGTCAGCCACGCCTACCTAAAACGGCTCGTTCTAACGCCCCCACATACCTACGTCACTATCTGGGAAGATTTGCATAACGCCGCCCAAATGTTCACGCAAAGAAAGAAGGCGTAACTTTTATTCTCGCTGTAGTATTGTTGTTGCCGCCGCCGCCATGTCGTGAAGATGCTGTGTTTCGTTGTGAAAGAGAAACTACTTAGTTTGGTCTTCCAAAAGAGGACGATATCCGCTTATAAGCGGAGTCCAGCCCGGGGTCGTCACATGTGGTTGCCGCAAGCCTCCTTCGTCGAATCCGCCGGCAGCGCCGTTCTCAAGCCCGCCGCCTCTGCTCACTCTAGCCCTTCGGCCGTTCCTCCCTCTAGCCCCCGGCCTCTGCTCACTCTAGGCCGCCGTGTGTGACACTGTGTTTCGTTGTGAAAGCGAAACTACTTGGTTTGGTCTTCCAAAAGAAATAATGTTCTTTTTAGCAACATCATATGACCCTTTAAAAACACTGACGGCTTTGTTCTTCAAGGTGGTATGCTAAGCATTTAAAACATACAAAAGTTTATGAATTAAGGATCCTAGTCTTTGTCCTGTTGTCCCTTATGTACTATTGTGTAACCATGGTATCACAACACAGCTTCAAATCTATTAACATTACAGTTTAACAAACAAAGAAATGTCAGGCCTTTGGAAAACATTAATTATTAATGTGGAAAGCATTAGCCTATCTTTAAGCTAAACCAACAACATTTTAGCTGGGATAAATTACACAAATTTAAGTGCCCTGCTCATGAAGAATTTACACTTTGAACACTTTCTTGCTTGCCTTAGGTTTAATTTGTTGTATTTTGTCAAATTTCTGCATTCATGCTCTCTTTATTGGTCCTAAACCACCAAACACAAGAGTTATTTTTAACTTTATAAATATCCTCAATATATTAGGAGCTATAAAAACAGGATTATAGCATATTTTCTTAAAATGCAGTTATTCAATATTTAATCTGCTGTTAAAACAACTGCTACTCTCTCTGTGTGAACTGTGAAATGTGCACCTCATTTCAGCTATTTCCATAGCAGTCTGGTCTGAAGCTGTCATTTTTATACAAACCAGACTAGTTAATATGATCTTGTTGGCCTTGCATGCACTTACCTCAATCACTCTAAGAGTATTTTCCTACACTTTTCAGTGCAACGGCAGAGAGGACAGCTGAACTTGAAAGGTATTTCAGATATCGGCATGCGGATTTAGTGCTTGTGTTTCACCGCTCAGTTGCTCTTGTTGTCTATTTTTGCTATTCCCACCACACCATCAACAACTTTTTAGCCTGCATTTTCCACTGTAGCTAAAGGAAATATGACACAAGCAGCTCTGTACTGATAAGGGTAGACTCGCATTCAAAACAAAACATATTTTTGCACCTTTTTTTGGACTATATATATATAGTCCAGTTCAATAATATATATATATATTATTGAACTGTCAGGGAAGTCAAAGTAATCAAACCTTGAATTTAACTATGAGTTTGCAAACTGCACAGACTACGAAATAAAAAGGCAAGCTGAGGATACACATCTGGAAGACAAGGAAGCTAGCATTTCAAAATGCCGCAACTAATAGTTTCCAGACACTAGTAAAATGAACAGTGAATAAAACTCACCCAGCCAGCACAGCACAGTTACTTTAAGTAATCCAGGGGTGTCCAACCCTGCTCCTGGAAAGCCACCAGCAGATTTGAGCTCTGTCCCTAATTAAACAGACCTAAACCAGTCTAATTAAGGTCTTTAGGATTACTTTAGGAAACTTCCAGGCAGGTGTGTCGTAGCTAAACTCTGCAGGAAAGTGGCCCTCCAGGAACAGGATAAGATATCCCTGAAAGTAAGCCATTCGTAGGTTGATCTCCCAGAAAGGGTTTTTCAAAATTACTCTTTATTTGAGTGGTTCAACATGGCCCAAAAAAGACTGGAACTCTGGAAATCTACTTACCTATCTGGTCCTCGGGTATGTAAGACTCTATAGGTGGGTTCATTTCCGAGCTCTGTTTGAGGTAAGCCTTCATCTGGGTCATGAACTGCCGGAGTGTCTGCAGAAGATCCTGGCTGGACGAGTGGCAGTTTTTATTCTCCTGCACAAAGCTCACATAGTCCTGCACCAGGCACCCAAAGTAAGAAGTTTTGTCTTGGGACAACTCAATGATCCGAAGCAAGATGCGCTTTTCAGGCGTAGCCAGTACACTGAAAACACCTTGGACCTTACGGAAGTGTCCCCTTAGTGCTCGTGGGATAACAAGCGATCTCGGTCGAGCCCCCACTAGTTCGACCGACAGTAGTTTCTTTGACATGCGGGAAGCATGAAGGCGTAGATGCAGATCCCTTTCAAGTCCCACACCGTAGTTGTCCTCCTCGTCCTCATACTCATCACTGCTGTCATCCGTGGAGGGGCCTTTGCCAACACTTTGGGATAGTCCCAATGGGAGAGGATGCGGAGGAGAATCCAAAGAGTCCGATGAGGATGTAGACAAGCTTCGGCCACTTGAGCTTCGCCCTTTCTCTTCGGTTCCGGTCCATTGCTGCAGGATGGTGCTGCTGGTCGGGTTTAAAGGAGTCGTATTGGCTTGAGAAAGGGCCCTAGAGATGGTTTCGTCATCTAATGCAATGGTGCAGCGGTAGCTGTCGATGTCTGGAGGTTGTGGAGGTCGTGGTGGAGGATTGTGTCTCCGACTCGTTCTAGTAATGCCAGCACTCAAAGGCATAGTCCTCGGACCTGAAGGTGAAGTAGGGGTACGAACCAAAATGCGAGGAGGAGGTGGTCTTGGTGGAGGAGGGGGATGAGATTTTCCGTTTTCTGCTGTTGGGTCCTTTGCGATCACTGTTTCTGAAGTTCCAGTGACATCTTGCTGTGTCTTGAGAAAGACAGGGTTGATAAAAGACAAAGCACTGCTGGAGCAACTCCTTTCACCTTCTGCGGTATCGGGGCAGGTGTTGGTCAGTAGCTTCCCAAATGGGGTGCAGGTTTGATCCTCTGTCTGTAAGACATCAGAGCAGCTGCCGTGCAGAGATATCGGCGGTCTGTCCTGAATCAGAGAACTGTTTGGGGCAGAGATTGTCCATTGTTGTTTGTTGAGAGAAGATTCCCAGAATGCTGGAATAAAAGAGAGAATCTGATTAATGGTTAACAACACACATGCACAGTCTTTATACAAACACAACCACAAAAGCAGCAAACGCACCCACTCCAGCTTCCAGTCAGCATAGACCGCCACACGTTGTCAGCACACATGTGAATTTGAGTGTGTGTGGCTATATCTAGTTACAGCTAGGCTAAAGCGTCTGTTCACTTCTGTTGTCCTCAGGCCCACTGAAGTTCTTGGAGAAATTTAGCGAGCTCAGTCGTGCATTTCAGAAAACTGATTCACAAATGCCATACAAACACACCCAGCACAGAGCCGGACAAAAACGGAGTCATTTATCCAAACAGACAGCGTGTATGGGGAGGTGTATCTTGACTTCACAGAGCACACCAAACCCCTCCTCTTTCTCCTCCCCTTGCTTTCTGTCTCTCTCCCCACCCATTTCAGTATAGTTTCTCCTTATGTTGGCTTCATGGGCCAGTTTCTATTAAGAATAGATAGTTATTTGACAGTCAGCCTCTTTCAAATGAGACTTCAAATTACTGAACCAAACTTACAATTGTTCTTTGGCAACTTTAGAGTACTTTAGTGTGGATGGGTGTTGCTAAGGTGATACAAATGTTGTTGTTTTTTTAGCTCATTGCTAGCTAAATTTGTCCCCAAAATATGGTTAAGTAGGTACACACACACACACACACACACACACACACTTACTTAACTAGACTTCTATTGTTTTTATATACAGCTAGTTATAAATATTTTGTAACCTAATCCACACACTAACACTAACAGAAAACTTTCTGCATTTTTACAATAAAAAAAACAACAACTTTATTTGCTTTATTTCTAAATGGGAACACTGCACAGACTTCTATTGTTTTTATATACAGCTAGTTATAAATATTTTGTAACCTAATCCGCACACTAACACTAACAGAAAACTTTCTGCATTTTTACAATAAAAAAAACAACAACTTTATTTGCTTTATTTATTTTTTTACCATTTTTTAAACCAAGTCTAATGAGTACATCCAAAAAGGAGGTTTGAGGAGATTTTGTCAGGTTTAGCTCACTTCTGGGTACAAATTTGTCCCTAAAAATATGGTCACACACACACACACACACTCTCTATCCCTCAGTAACCTCTATGCTCTGATTAGCTCACATAGTCTCACACGCTATCTGGAATGTCAGCTGGACTAATAATAACACAGAACTGAATAGCAGGCCAGCATGTCTCAGCTGTGGTGGACGGAGAGATTCAAACACATAGTTACTCACAAGACAGTCATGGCAAAGGTTCCTTCTTCTCTAGGAACATTGCAATATTTCTTCATTATCTGACAAATAATATTTGATACTGGTTCAAGATGGTCTGAAGCATGTAAGAACATACAAAAATATTGCATTACTAATTATTACTTGTACATGCAACCTGCTTGAGTATACTGAAAACACTCTACTTTCCTGACACACTTGGCATCATGTCACTTGTGCTTTTTTAAGGGAGCACCAATGGCAGACCTGACTCACTTGGTGCCCTAGGTCTGAGACATGATCAAAAAAAAAAAAAGACATTTTTACAAATATAAGAAGTGTTAGTTTGTTTTTGTTAGTGCTGTTTTCATTTAGTGTGCAAGGGGACCAGGGCTCTAATCCTAAAAACTTTTATGTTTTAAAAAAACGAAATGAAGCAAATTTGATCATTTTAATTTTATTGTATGAAAAGGGTCATTTTGAATTGCTGATAATACTGAAGACTCTTTTTGTGTTTCAAATTCCACTTGGCTCCAAAATCAGAGAGAGTGAATGACCCCTGAATTTGAATGGACGTTGGACCACTGCTATTTCAGTGCCACTGAGATACTAGTAGTTTTTTCCCCTACATATTCTGAATTAGGTTTTTTTTTTTTTGGATCTTCATTTTAATTTTAGTTAAAGTTTTAGTAATTTTGTTGTGTGTTTTTTTTTAAATGTCTATATCATTTTTATTAAAAATTTGAAATTTTAGTTTTTTTTTTGTACATGAAGTTAAACTAAATGAGAATGAGAATATTGCTTTGTCAACTATTGAAATAATTTTTTTAATATTTGATTTTATTTCAGTTAATGTTTTAATTTATTTCAAGTAACAAAACTATTTTTTTAATTGTTTCAGTTTTGGTTAATAACCCTGCATTGGACATTTCTCCCCCAAACCTATTTTGAGTAAATTCAAAATTCACCAGTCACAAATAACACACATAGATATATACATTACTATGCAGATATAATATTTCAGATTCATATAGGTGGAACATGCAAATAAATAATCATGGGACCAAACAGGAAATAATGTATTATTATATATCATTTTATATAACTGTATCTGTACTAAATGCGATATTTTTAGTGGGTTAGACGAGCTTGGTCAGTACCTGCTCCTTGCTGGGCCACTTCATGTAGATCTGACAGGGTCGCTGCTGAATGGATGGCCTCAGGAAGCTTCAGGGTAAACGGCAGAATATCTCTAATATGAAACAAAGAGAGTCAGACAGACAAATAGTGCGTGAAAGAGGGTAAAAAATAAACAATGGGAGAAAATACACACAATCATTCACTCTTTTCCTACATTAATAGTGACAGGTCAAATCATACATATACATCACATTCAGAAAAAGTAATAATTCTGCTGTTACTGGGTGGGAAATTGGTATTGAGCAGAGAGAGGGCAGACTTTCAGTTTCGATGAGCGGCTTGAAAAAACAAACATCACATGGAAAACTGTTGCAATCTTCTGATTTATGGATGATATCAAATAAATCTTTTGTATTTAGGGCCATATATTACTTCATACTGTTGCTGATAAGGTGATGGATATCATTGGGTTTTATGAGCAGTGGGTTCATTTCTGCACAATCACTCATAGTTTCTTTACTCATAAATCTTGCATATGCTGTCTTTTATGCACACTTTAGCACTACAGTGAAGGTAAAGATGGCAAGACACTGACAGCAATAAAACATTTCATCCATTCCAAATCGTGGATTGTTTTTATATACTACAAAGAAAATGTGAGTGGTTGAGTTACATGCACAAAGTACAGCGCTTAGCGTTAGGGTTGTTCAACTTCCTATACCTTAATAAGTATCAGACATTGAAAAAGTGTTACCTGCTGATACAATAAAAGGCCACAAGACGAAAGAGGTCAGCAAAACTGATTCCTGAGCCCTGTAGAGAAAATGCTAGGAAAAAAGAACAATACACAACAATCAATAAAGTTCTATAATCTCCAAGCATTTTCACAATTTTATCCATCATAAACAGCACTGGGACACTGAGTGTTGCCCTAGATTCTTAATTTGTTGGGAATTTTCTGAAAATGTTTTGGGAAATTTCTGAACTGATTCTCAACTTGGCAGGTAAAACGCTCAAAAGCCTTCAGCGCCTTTCAGACCACATTAATTTGTCTAAGGCAAGGAAATTCTCAGCTGGATTGCACCCAGGCCAAAAACACTAGGGTGTGTCTGATATTTCACATGGAGAACTTCTTGGAACTGCACTGCTTTAAATGCCAAAATTTTGAATTTATGTTGACACAGTACACAGAAGTAGATATGGCTAGATGTGAGCAGAGCGTAAACATCAGTTATGGCTTAGTATAAGGGACCCAACATACTGTACTGGTTCTCCTTTACAGGGATGTGAATGACAGAGGAGTCTGAGGTACCATCCATGTGGAATGACAGGACCTTCTTTTGCAGGATAGATGATTTCCACACTAAAAACACCTGGACAGGGAAAAAGAAAACTTTTTTTTTTTTTTTGGATGTATATGTTTCTAATGCAGCAGTTCTTAAAGGGACAGTTCACCCAAACATGAAAATTCTGTCATCATTTACTCACCCTCATGTCATTCCAAAGCTGTATGAATTACTTCTTCTGCTGAGCACAAAATAATATATTTTGAAGAATGTTGGTAACCAAAAAGTGGACGGTAGCCACTGACTTCCATAGTATGGAAAAAATACAATGGAAGTGCAATGGCTACCATCAACATTCTTCAAAATGGAATGACATATGGGTGCGTAGATGATGACAGAATTTTCATTTTTGGGTGAACTATACCTTTAACCATTTTTAACCTCCCAGTTCTAAAATAGAAGTATTGATATATTGATTCATTTTGTGATTGGAAAGTTTCAAGAGCTGTATGTTCTTCAGTAAAACAATAGTTACTGAGGGGGTGAAAAGAAATGTGATTTCAGTTTACATCTTGATTTCATGTGCTTTAATTATTTTGCTTTATTAATAATAATGTATTAATTTAAATACTCATATTGAGGCCCCCTACTGGTTGAGAACCACTGCTCTAATGGCAATGAATTTTCTCTTTAAAAGAGTTGATGTGTTTTGAAAAGTATTTGTCAAAAATCTCGATTAAAGCCTCTAGTTCATATTTTCCTGTACCAAAGGTTTCACTGATTAATCACAAATTCAGTTGCAAATATTTTCTATAATAAATTAGTTTTGAATTTTAGTCTCCTTAATTTTTCCTCTTTAAGGAACAATCAATATTCTGTCATCATTTACTCACCCTTTTTTCCTAGGAGCATGAAAGGAGCAGTTTAGATGAATGTTCACGCTATTCTTTTTCAAATATCAGAAGAATAATGTGCACTCGATTCCAAGTCGTCTGAGAGCATACGATATTTTTGTGTTTTGCCTGAATGAGAAATGTTTAGTACATACCAACTGGTCTTTCCAACACACAAACCTACAATTATGGCTTCAGGCTCGGGAAAAGACTCATGAAACATTTTATGATACTTTTTGTCATTTTTGAAGCTATATAAATCAGCATCCACTCCGGAAAACAGCAACTTGGGCATCTCTTTTTGTATTTCACAAAAGTCCAATGCGGTTGGAACAAAACAAGGGTGAATAAATGGTGACAGAATTTGAATTTCTGTGAACTATTTCTTGAAAAAAATCTGTCTGGCGTCTTTGCGTTCACTCTCTCTAACATATTTTACCCTAGCTGGTTGCTGCAGAAGGATGCCAGTGGCCTCTCGCTGGTCGATGGAAAGCAGAAGCCAGATGGGGTGTGTGTGTATCAGTTTGTCCAACACACTCACACTTATGCTTGTACCTTCCCCATCAACGGCAGGATACTGTAGACACACAGGACTCATCTCTCCCTCTATCCTACAGAGAACAAAACAAGGTATGGGTGTAGAGGGTTGTTTTGTTTTGACAGAAACGCCTCTTATGTCCTTTAAAGGAAGAAAAGGCATTAGAAAGACAGACTAGACACTGGCGCCCTCTACTGGACTCCACTCTAAACCATACAGAGGTTCTTTGTAAATGTAATGACATATTACAGCACATAAACTTAACAGAAGTAAATGCAATGCATCTATTAAAAGTACAGAAAATATATGCACTATTTCATTTAAATGCACTCTTATTTAGCTTACTGTACAGTGATGGTCTAAATGCAGTTTTGACGTGTTTGGTATGTGTACTCACTCTATGAGCATAGAAATATCTGGATCTCTGTCTGGATCTCTGTCTTTTTCCTGCACAGCACGAACCATTTGCTGCTCCAGTGCTCCCAGTGACAATGCAAACGCATCGACGAGCTGCACATTGATAGAAAAAGTCAAATCTTACATGTCCAAGCAGAAAACATTTCAGTGAATTAATATAGTGCTCTTTTAAAATTCACTTTGGCAACTTCCCCTTTGCTAACAAAAGAGAAACTGCCAGGAAACCTGCTGAGAAACACTGAAGAAAAAAACGGAAAGCTAGAAAATTAAAAATAAAACAAGCTGAAAGAGGCTTATTTTGTGTCACTTTCCAGTGTTCTTAATCTATTTTTTCCCCAACAGGAAATGGGATTTGAATTGGCAACACAACCTAAACACCACAGCATTACTCTATGCAAGCAACTGCATGTGATTTTTAAATGACATCAGTAGATATGCGAAATAAACTCCACTACAAACATGAGAAAAATGTGTTTAAATGTGTTGGATTTTGAGTTATAAACTCAAAAAATGTGTTTACATCTCACAATTACGACTTTTTTCTCTGAATTCTAAGTTATTACATTTTGCAATTGTGTTTTTTTCTTTTTCCATCATTGAGTAAAAATAAAAAAGGTAATTGCTACTTTTTGTCTCACAATTCTCACAATTGTGTCTCATTCTGAAAAAAATAAAATAAATCTGAATTGTGACAAACTCAGAATAAAAAAAGAAAAAAAGTCATAATTGTGGGATTAAAAAGTTTCAATTACCTTTTTTATTGACCTTTATTATCAGAAACAAGCTTCCATGCTCCTGTAATGCAAGTCTATGGGATTTTTGGGCACATTTGATTGTCCACGAGGCAAAAAGTAAATAGGATCACCTTTTAAAAAGTAATAGCACATTCGACTTTTTTCTCTGAATTCTAAGTTATTACATTTTGCAATTGTGTTTTTTTCTTTTTCCATCATTGAGCAAAAATAAAAAAGGTAATTGCTACTTTTTGTCTCACAATTCTCACAATTGTGTCTCATTCTGAAAAAAAATAAATAAATCTGAATTGTGACAAACTCAGAATAAAAAAAGAAAAAAAGTCATAATTGTGGGATTAAAAAGTTTCAATTACCTTTTTTATTGACCTTTATTATCAGAAACAAGCTTCCATGCTCCTGTAATGCAAGTCTATGGGATTTTTGGGCACATTTGATTGTCCACGAGGCAAAAAGTAAATAGGATCACCTTTTAAAAAGTAATAGCACATTCCTTTTCAACAAAGTGCATGATTTGATATAGCATTTATATCCATTGTGCAAATGGAGCAGGATTAGTTTGATACAGGTTACTCAACCCTCTATATTACATACATTAAAATTAAGTATACATTAAATAACAAAATCATCAAAACAACAAAAAAGGCAGCCTAGCAGGCTGTTAGTGGCATTCTGACCAAAACTACTTTGAAAATGAAGTAATGTTTCCAATATGCCACTATGGTGATGCACAATGTTGACTCCATGTAAATATTTTGAATCACTGTGTGCCAGCTTCCTGTGATTTTAATGCTGATCTGCAATTATAGGCTATTTTGGATTAAAATGCAGGCCATTAAATGCAGATGAAAACCGAATCAAAAGACAAAAGTTCTTTGAGATTCCAATTGTAATTCCTAGTGCTAGTGATACATTCATTGACCGAATGTCATAAAATACAACATAAACTAGGAAAGATAAACTTTAGATGAGCGAGACGGAGGATGAGGACCGAACAGAGAGAGCAATTGTTTAGACTGAATGATAAAATAAAAAAGCCCTGGAGAAGAAGAAGAGACGAAGGACTAATTAAGGAGAGAGAGAGAAAGAGAGAGATGTGCATCTCAAAAAGACACATCTATTATAGAGCGCTTGAATGGTCCTGTCTGGGCAACAAGCCCTGCTGCAGTCACACACACACAGTCACACACACACACACACACAGTTTCTGTCCATTGATTTTTACAAGGAACACCAGACAGCCAGTGAATGTACGCAGTGGAACAGAAAATGTTCTGTAGGAGAATAGGGATATTTATACTGATCCAAAAACAGTCCCTGCCTGAGCGCATTGGCTAATAAGAGTCTGTAGCACCATCTGCGTGTCCTGCGCTTATTAAATTGTTACACAAATGTTGTAAGACACATAGTCAGCATAGATTAAAAAAAAAAAGAAGATTTATAAACTCAGAAAAATGGATTTGGAACTAAACATTATACATAAATGTAAAAAAAATTACATCTAATGGAAATAATCTTCATTTATTGTTGCCTAGAATTCATAAATTTGGTGTTTAAATTGTCCTGCATTGTGTATGCTATGAACATTTATGATGCCTCAAATAAATTATGCATTTTGTTAAGGATAAGTGTGTTTTTATATGTGTTTTTCCCCCCATTATAGATACTATTAGATCAGATTTAAAATTTCCACCAGTAAAACTGCTTAATAAAAATCCCAAAGGTCCAGAATAAGCTTGACTTGGGAGTGAGTGAGCACTTTTTACACCGGCCAGTAAAAACAAGACCTTGTCACAGCCACCAAGAAACACCCAAACGTTTTCTTTAAAATATACAAAAATCACAAATGCGGTCCTTGATTGGGTTTCTCAAAATTAAGTGCAGGTTTAGTGTACAACTGATCATCCTACCTGAAGAAAACTACCACTTCTGTCCATCCGGCTGGGTTGCAATGACGTGTTCACTGCTACTATTAGATCAGATTTAAAATTTCCACCAGTAAAACTGCTTAATAAAAATCCCAAAGGTCCAGAATAAGCTTGACTTGGGAGTGAGCACTTTTTACATCGGCCAGTAAAAACAAGACCTTGTCACAGCCACCAAGAAACACCCAAACGTTTTCTTTAAAATATAAAAAAATCACAAATGCGGTCCTTGATTGGGTTTCTCAAAATTAAGTGCAGGTTTAGTGTACAACTGATCATCCTACCTGAAGAAAACTACCACTTCTGTCCATCCGGCTGGGTTGCAATGACGAGTTCACTGCCATGTTGCTCTTGTTGTTTTAAAGTCCTGCAATTCAAAAGAGGCATGAGGATCACTAAATAAAATGACTCTGATATAAAATTGTCTATTTTCAGTATGACTGATGCATACATTCATACTGTATTTGCCACGCTCTTGTCTTAAATATTTTTTCTGGAAATATTTATGTTTAAATATACTGGTACTATACTGGTACATACTGGTAAAAAATGTATAGCCTGAATGCACTGTATGTCGCTTTGGATAAAAGCGTCTGCTAAATGCATAAATTATTATTATTAATTATTAATTAATTATAAATATATTACATTTTCATTTATTTTTATGTATCCTAATGGGTTTGAGATTTGACAAAAATATATAAATATATTTTTATTGTAAATATATAAACAATCTATAGAATTAATTTATGTATTTTTATGTATATATACATTTCTATATTATACTAAAAATACACTTAATAATAAAAATACATATGTGACCCTGGAACACAAAACCAGTCATAAGGGTCAATTTTTCGAAATTTAGATTTATACACAATCTTCATTAAAGATAAATAAATAAGCTTTCAATTGATGTATGGTTTGTTAGGATAGGACAATATTTGGCCGAGATACAACTATTTGAAAATCTGGAATCTGAGGGTGCAAAAAAATCAAAATATTGAGAAAATCGCCTTTAAAGTTGTCCAAATGAAGTTCTTAGCAATGCATATTACTAATCAAAAATTAAGTTTTAATATATTTACAGTAGGAAATTTACTAAATATCTTCATGGAACATGATCTTTACTTAATATCCTAATGATTTTTGGCATAAAAGAAAAATCTATAATTTTGACCCATACAATGTATTTTTGGCTATTGCTACAAATATACCCCAGCGACTTAATCAGATATCAGTGTCACATATACCCACACACACCAACACAGAAAAAGGAAGCATGCCTCATTACACATACTCCATTTCACACACCAGTGACATTTACACAAGAGGAATCTAAATAAGTTCCCATATCCATTGTAAGAACATAATTCTTAGTAACCCAAACCACAGAAAAACACATGCATATACTTCACGGAAACATTTATCAATAGTCAACGAGGTCTAAAGCTAAAAGTCTGTTTTCTGCAGGAGGGTGAACGCTCTACAGCTCCATACCCTCTTTCAGTGCACAAACACACATATCTTCCTGTTTGTTCCTGTCACTACAGTGCATGGAAGCAATTTAGCGTGAGATATGTTTAAAAATTCCTGACAAAGATGGACCACATCATTGCACTGGTCTTCAGTGCAAACCAAGTGCATGCTGGCGCCATCAGCACTGGAGATCACATAAACAAACTAGGACCGTGATTGTACTTTAACTTTGTTGTGGAATATTTTTTGTAATAGTTGAATGTAAAGCAAGCTTGCAAAGATTACATTACAAACACAGTGCTCATATCATGCACTGTATTTATTTTACAATGCTCTCTTCATAAATATAATATATAGGCTATCCATCAAGTACGTATATATTCATATGCCTGTGTAAAAGTCAAATAATAAATTTATTTTTCAGATGAGTATCTTTTTTCTGTTTTTTTGTCTAACTAAATTGTCAACTCATAATTTGAAATAGAAAATAATTTAATTATTTTACATAAACATTATATTAAGTGCCATATATAGGCCTATGGCTTTTTTGCCTCAGCACTGAATAATTTCACATTTTGTGCTGACATGTAATTAGCAGATATTTCTACAGGTATTTATTTAACACAATTATCATCTGGCACATGCCAAACTAATATCTAATTTAAAGTAAATACACATTGTTCTTAAGTGGGACATATTCGTCCAACTTTCCGTAATGTCTGATTGTATATCGTGTTATGCATGTAAAATATAGGCATGTAAAATATTAAGTAAATATGACTAATATTAATAAGTTGCAGTGTGGAGGTCTACACACTAGTTCATGAGGATTAATGAGTGAAAAAAAACACACAGAGAAACAGTACAGCGTTTCAATAGAGAAAACAAACAAGCCCACTGCGAACTGAAATAATTTTATCGCATTTAATAACTAATTACGCAATGCTATTATATAAGAAAATTGATATCACATAGACCTACCTATGAGTGCTCCTCTCCAGTCTGTATTTAAAGCGACTGCCGCCAGCAGCACATACTTCTACAGTAACTACAGTCCAGTGATTCTGTCTCTATCCGTTTGACACACGCGCTCACATGATCACATGACCGACGCTGCACGTCATTGGTGGTGTTTAACCATGTTTATGATGCGTTATATAACAATTAATAACAAGTTTTTATGCGATACAGGTTAAAGTGGCTTCATAAATTACTTTTTAAAAATATTAAAAACGCAAAACACACCTGATGCGAATTCTTTGCTCTTCATTTTCTATAAGCAGAGTTAACAGACCCTTGTTGTATTTTCTTGTACCGTATTGGCCCGAATATAAGAGGACCCTGATTATAAGACGACCCCCCTTTTTCCAGATGTACCTTTTGGAAAAAGGCTTTTTAAAAACCAAATCTTGTTTTTTCTCAGTAAAACACATTTTGTCTTCAATTATTTTCATATTGCATATTTTTCCTATTTTAATTTTTGTTTTGAAAGTATGGTAAAAACTGGTAAAATGTACCAACAATCACATTTAAAAAATATAAACTTTTTGATATACCATTAAAAAAAAAAACAGGTAGCCCATCTGAATTAGGACATTTAGGCTATCCATCTAATAGTAGCCTACCAAAATCTTATTAACAGTAGAAGTTAAATCTTACTGTAGTCTTCAAATCTGGGTACTGTCTTACGTTTTAAAATCACAAAGGGAGTTTGGTGCCATCAGGCTAACGTGACAGTCACGACTCATGCAGCTGTAAGGTTTGTTTTTACTCGCGATCTTTACAACACGCATCACATTACGTATTTCATGGCACACTCGTTTTATGCGGTTTTGGCGCCACCTAGTGTTTTGGGTGTATTATTGACATGTCAAAGTCTAGACCCTGAATATAAGACGACCGCGTTTTTCCAGATGTATTTCCAAGAAAAAAACATCGTCTTATATTCGGGACAATACGGTAATTTATTAAAAGAAGGTACACCGCCATCTTGTGCCGACTAAACTGACTTGAACGCGCCTTGTCAACTCGTAAGTACGAACGTCCCAGGAGGACTTGAACGCAGCATAAATATTTATTCAAATACAAAACTTAAAAATAAGTAAGCAGGAATGACCTGCAATACTCTTTTGAGAAACTAGACTAGATACATGTATATTTATTAAAGAGCCATACAGGTGGGTAAACCATTGCATTGCAAATGAATTTTTTTTGTCTAATTTGCCTCTTTGCATTGCAATTTAAAACCCGTTTCTCTATTTTAATCTTAAATACTACCCTAATAGTAATAGAAATATTAGAAAACAATATTTTAAGTGGTCATTAATGGATCATAATTATTGCACAAATAGTATTTGGTACCGAAAGATCTCCTCAAAATATTATTATAATAAAGTAAATGTTATTGATCTAAAATACTGAACATCTATTTAACTGAAAAATAGTTAAGGTGTATGGGTTTATAAGTAAGGAATATCTGAGGGTTGTTTTTAGCTTTATTTTTTTGTTTTCATTTAAATGTTTTAGTTTTGAAATGTTGTTGTATGCATTTGTCATTTTTATTTAATTTCTTGTATTTTCTTAAAAGCTTTTAGCTTTTCGTTTTTAAATACAAGAAAAACATGTTAATGTTGCCTCTCCATCACTCTCCAGAATAAAATGATACTGTAAATGTCATCCTCGTAATAATCAATGCTGTTCACCAAAAATTGCTGCAAATACTTGTATAGTGAAGCTGTCGTCTATCCTGCTTAAACCCATTCAAATGTATTGACAGCGCTGTTTTGTTCGGAACTATTGAGAGCTAAATGAACCACGTGACTGCGACGCCGGCGAGATCAAAGCAGCATGCAGCAACTGTTTTTCAGTGGCTCTGGCGCTACAACGAATTACGCCGCATTAAGTGCGCCAAACAGTATTTGTTGGTTACATTTCGTATTAAAACTTACAACATTTATAAGCTGAGACTTTGTTTCATATCACAAGCAGGGTTGCCACTTTGGCGTGAGATTTACATGGGCAGTGAGAGCGTGAGACAGAGCCTGAAAGCGTGTCTCACGCCAAATGCGTGAGAGTTGGCAACCCTGTGTAAATAATTTCGTAGAATAACTGCTAAATATGATAAATAAGAACAACGTTGAAAGAACAATTAAAGGGGTTAAAATTCAGGCAACTTCCTTGTTTCCTTAATACGCTAACACTGACTTACCGTTATGATGAAATAGCCGTGTCTCAGACTATGTTCATAACATTTTAAATCATCACTTTTTTTTTTATTTATATGGAAAAATACAAACAAAAAATTAATACAATGAAAAATGACATTAAAGTTATGTATTAGCATGTTTTTTATAATTATCTAAATGAAAATTCATTCAATTATAAATATTTTTAGGAAATATTCATCATTAATGTCCACGAATGCATGAAAAATCACATCACCCCCACCCAAGCAATTACCTGTAAATTATCTTTAACTTCTGATATTGGACAACATCCTCTCCAAGTGTAAGACAATCATTATGCTTTTTTATTATTAAATTGTACAGGTACACCTGCTTTTCACATTCAGGAATAATCCCCTTTTGCTTTTTTTCTACTTAAAAGTGCCATGCAGTAAAGCAGGTTACCTCACAAAATCTCCTTTGTCCTTTTGTTATTTACCATATTTAGCAATTATTCTATGAAATTATTTACTCTTTTGTTGGTCACACTGTATTATACGGTGATTTAAATTTCAAACTAGGTCCCTAATGACTGGCGCTAGCTCTGTAGTAATAGAAAATAGATTTATGAATAATCTTTCAGATTTGTAGATCTAAACAAGATCTTCAAATATGATGGCATTATGTTAAAAGAACAATAGTACTCAACAGCTATGGAATAAGTAATAATAACGCACATTTTTCTTTCTCGTTTTTATTAAAACACATCACAGAGATGTATACATTTAAATAAATTAGATGGCATAGTAAATATTCAGATATTGTGTTCAAAGTGGTGCTAAAATACCACTGATGTGTGCCTGAGTCTTTTTTCTACTAGTAAATGTGGAGCTGCCACTTGTTCTCATGTTTATATACGATCCAGCTTTCAGAAGAAAATCAGACTGGGCACTATAGTGGACATTTGAGAGGGACAGTAATAAGACAGAGAGTCAGCGGTATGAGCTGCACTGAAAGACGTCCCTGAAGACAGCAGCATTCCACTGGACTGGACTGATATGCAAGTTGCAAAATCCTAAAAAAAATTAAAAAATAAAACAAAAATAAAGAAATACAAAGAGCAGACTGTGATATTTGGTGTCAGTCTCCAAAGAGCAACCCCTGGAGCTTGATTCAATTCAATAATAATAAAAACAGCTTAAATAAATGCATCAGTTTGGACTGTGGCTGTAAGTGTACCGTGAGGTACTCTATGGTTCGCGTTCAGAGGACACATCTCCCTCTGCTCCGCTGCTGGCGCTGGGGTCCGCTTTCGAGCGCAGAGCTGCCTTCTCTCTGCTGGACTCGGAGGGGCCTTTTGACCGTGTTTTTTCTTTCCGCTGCTGTTGCTTCTCTTGTTTGGACAGCTGAAGCATGAAAAAAGGAAGAGAGGCAAACTGGTTTGTGGTTTTATACAGTCCCAAAACAATTCATGCTGTAATCAGAACTACAGAATTTACAGTTTCCGTAGAAGATAACGCTGAGGCATGTATTTCATTGCGAATCAAAGCTGGATACCAGTTTAGGGTCTGTAGGGCCAGCAGGAGACTCCAGCTGAATGGTCACAGGTCCATCATTTTGAATGAGTACCTGCATTTTTGCACCAAACTGCCCATCTGCAACACAATACAAGCTGTGTAAGATAAAACCAACATCAATTCATGGTTCATATTTGATGTTTTTAGCATTTCAATTAGGTATATAAATGATTTTTTATTATATACTGATTTAGTAATTTTAATACAAGCGAATATGTATATATTCATAGGCCTACACATAAATCTTATAATGAAAATCACCTTTCAGATGATTCCTTTTACTGGGATTCTGCTTAGTCTGTCATCAGGTATACAATTAGTAAACTAAATTGTAAAGAACAACTTTAAATAGAATATTTTATTTAGTATTTTACATTAATGACACTTGTATATAAAAATAATATTAAAAGTAATTTATACATTCAGTAAAAATCAACTAAATTAGCAAATGTTTCCATTTATTTCCCTAAACACACACTGGCTTATATATATTAATTTAGTAATTATAATACAAATAACACAATTCTTAAATACAGTAAATTATCAATTTTTATTATTAATAAATTAGCTTAGTAAATTAAATGGAGAACCACTGTTCAGCTGTCTTCTTACTGCATAGTAAAATTTCACATTTCTAAATTACTGTTTGATTAATGTATCAGTGACTTTTAATATTAAAGGGATAGTTCGGCCAAAAATGAACATTTTGTCATCACATTCACCATGAACACACAAAAACACTTCAAAAGGTCTCCTTTTGTGTTCTACAGGTTTGGAATCACATAAGTGAGTAAAAATGTCATTTTTGGATAAACTATTAATGCAGCAAATACCTTAAAGGGTTAGTTCACCCAAAAATGAAAATTAGCCCATGAAGTACTCACCCTCAAGGCATCCTAGGTGTATATGACTTTCTTCTTTCAGACAAATCCAATCGGAGTTATATTAAAAATAGTCTTTGATCTTCCAAGCTGTTTAATGGCAGTCAGCGGGTGTTGCATGCATCAGTCCAAAAGAAGTGAAATAAAGCGCATCCATTCATAATAAAAAGTGTCTCACATGGCTCCAGGGAGTGAACAAAGGCCTCCTGTAGCGAATCGATGCGTTTTTGTAAGAAAAATATCCATATTCAAAACATAATAATCACTTTCATGTAGCTTGCGCTCACTGTTGTACACGGAAGCAGTTCCGGGCGGATGACGTATGAGGTCGGCGTTGCACTGCACTGATGCACTGCAACACCCGCTGACTGCCATTAAACAGCTTGGAAGATCAAAGACAATTTTTAATATAACTCCGATTGGATTCGTCTGAAAGA